TTTTTTATTCAAAATTTTCTAAGATATACACGAATTTACATATTTTCGCGTTTTGAAATTTGGCATCTTTTTTTTTGAGCGATAATAACGCCAAATGTGGTCTATGGATTTTTGTTACACTGAATTGCCACAGCTATTTTTAACCTTAAATTTCAAGTAAAATTTTACGGAGAATTAATTAATTATATGACATTTTTTCCCTCAATGATGCGTAATAAATATTTATTAATACTATATGAAAGGCTATTTTTTTAAATTATAGATGATATTATTCAAATTTTTAACTATTTTTTTTTAATTTCTCTCTATTTTTCTTTTTTTTAAAAAATAAGAGTAAGTTTTTGTAAGAGTAAATTTTTACCTTCGGCGTTTTATCGTCTGCTACTTTACTTCGTTTAAAAATCGAATTGTCTAAAACTGAGAATTTTCGTTTGATGTTTATTTGAATTTTATGACATTAACTGCATAATTTATTTCTAAACAAACTGTTGCTTTTGAAGTGGCTGAAAGAGCGGCTGATACTATCATCCATATTTTTAAAGCACAGTATATTTTTATAGAAACATAAGATTTAGAATAATCATTTTTATAAAAGTCAAATTATGATATAAACATACAACCCTCTAGAGACTGAATTAATGGAAGTTCAATGGTTATGTAGAAATGATCTGCAGCTACTTAATGGCTGGATAAGTCAGCAGATTCTGTGGACAAGTAAGAATAATTATATAAACGACACCAACATTCTGGATTCAATTAACAACGAACGAGGATACGATGTTTATTAAATGAATTTAAGAAGTTTTAAAAACATAAAAAATCAACTCATTTTTTTCCTAAAATGTATTTTTGTGCGTAGCGTATTTTCATTATATCCTTAAAATTCTAATTTAGAATGTAATTGTCAAGAACTGAATCCTAATCATCAGTAATATAATAAGTAATTATTACGGTTATTAATAAATCCTTCTTATAAAGTAATTGCAAATATTTCAAAAAACTTTCTGTCTGAATGCAAACATTTTTCTATGCAAATATTTTAAATTTTATATTAATCAAGATTGCACACGATATTATTTATTTGCACTTCAATTCTTACCGTCAGTTCTAGTAGAATTTACAAATCAATTATATTTAATTAAGGATTGGATTGGATTATTTAATTATGGCAAAGCACACGAGGGCTATCTGCCTAAAGGGAGGGATGCCTTCGTGGAGGACTTTCTAAGGGAAACTGGCTCGTATACACGTTACACATGGGGAAAACCACGAAAACCGCCCATGCGGCCAGCCCGTTCGCGGGATTCGAACCTCGACCGAACTACCAGTGTTCAGCGTCTTTACCGCTCGGCCGTTGGTGGGCTATTTAATTAAGGAATGACCATCTAAGTTAAGAAACAGCGTACCGTAACAACAATTCAATTATTGGCGCCGTATCTTTCATGTTACTCCCGATTGGCAAGCTACATGATTTTTAATGAGTATTCGGATTTTGCTAGTAACTTCACTTGGAAATCGCGCTTAAACTAGGTTAGTTGGTTATTTGAACATAGAAAGAACATGGGAGCTATTTGATTAAGATGCTTTCATAGAGAACCTTTGTAAAGAGAACCTAAAAACTACGAAAACCAACCATGCAGCCTGGGTTAGACTTCGAGCAACAAACAATTAGTATTTAACAATATTTTCTTTTTCAAATGCTAGGCAACTGGTGAGGCTCCAATTAAATCTCCAATTTAATATTTTATTTGTAAATATTTAAAATATTGTTGTATTCTTAGACACAAAAAGCAGAATTTAAGTTTTGTTAACTCGTTAGTAAACTACCAAGCCGTAGTGCAAATGAATATTCAATTTCTTTGGCAATAATTGTATTCACTTAATATTCTTGGAATATGAGCTAAAGAAGGAACGTTCTCGGAAGATTAAAGAAGTGTTTAAATCCAGTGATATTAGGTTTGTCTTACAAGCTCAGGATCAAAACGATTCTGCAATTGCCCGAGTAGTTGACTTGTAAATGGATGTGAATTAAGCAGATGACTTTTAATCTTACGTTATTCAGCCAGAAAACGTATTCCAAATGTTTTGTATTGCATGACAATGCATCTTTTCATTATTCAATAACCAGTCGGAGAACCGCTTGTGTTCCGAAAATAAGTATGTGTACTCAATCGTCCTGCATGTTCTTCAAATTTGTCTTCTTGTGATTTTTTTTTCTTTCTCAAAAACTAAAGTTGCCTCTCAAAGGAAAGTTTTTTGACATTGAAGAGACAAAATTAATATGACATCTACTTTTAGAGGCATGTCAAAAACAGATCTCTACAAACCTTCTCTTCCATTACATGTTGTGTGCAGTCAGACAAAAAGTTACATCAGCGTAAATTCTATAATCTATTTTTATTACACTCTGATTACTTTATTAACATACAGTGAATATATACTAAATCTTTTACTTTAGCTTAAGTAATTCGGAATTTTTGACGGAATTGTTGTCGGAACTAGGACTTAGAAGATAAGTCAAATTAAATATTTCGATAACCCAATAAATTCAAGTTCGAAATTTCAATATTTTATTTTCGGAGGGAGGGGAAATGTTTTCAGTTTTGGTCCATTATACTAAGTATATTTGCTTCGATTTTTTTATTTTTCCATAAAAGCGAAAATTTTACGCATGGTATACATATAACGCATAGCTTCAAATTAAAATTTAATAATATACAGAGTGGTTATAATTAAAGTTCCACATTGAAACGGTCATAAAAGGAAAACTACTGGATCAAATGTTATCAAACTTGGAAATCGTGTAAAGGAGGTCATGGGAATTTATTTTCCGCGAAAAAAAGGAAGTTCGAAACCTCACCACCAGGGGGGAAATGGCGCTGTATGCAATATTGTTAAACGAAATATGGGTCGGAATCTAACTTAACCTTTTGTTAAACGGGTTTAATATGTTGTATACCCTTAAGAAACTTTGAAGTAGGCAAATTACCATTTAAAGACGTTAAATTCGATAAATGTCGAGTGCGCCATCCCTGTAAGTGAGAATTTCGTCCGTGAAAACCACGAATTAGCGATTAGAAAATGTGAGATCGCAAATCACTCTCACAAGTGCGTACAATCTGGAAATCGTTTTCTTACAGATCGCTAATTTGTAATTTTTTAAGCCTGAATTCGGCACTAAAACATGAAGATACTGATTCAAAACGCTTTTAATCGATTTGGGCCAAAGAAATCTCTCATGTTATCTATCTAGTTCCATTGCATTCTCCTACTGCATTCGATTGCATAACAGTCATTTCACACCGTTTACTGTTGAATGACAGCTAGTTTTATAACTGAACCATTTTTTTCTGAAGAGCAGTCGACAGCTGGACCACTGCGATTGCAGCTCACTTAGAGCCAATATTAAAATGTTTCGTGATACATGAACTGCAGTAACGTGGCATTTTAGATACTACTATTTTTATGCAAGGCTGGGCCCCACCTCACGTGTGTCGCACAGTTACTTAGGCAACATTTCACAAATGAACGTCTTATAGGCCAACACTCCTCCAGTTTAACTCCCGTGTGTGTTGGATTTGCGCAGTGTTTATGGGGTCTCACAAAATTTTCATAAATATTATGGGGTCCCGGGGTTGCAAAAAAATCTAAGTGACAAAAAGGGGTCGCAACTGAAAAAAGTTTAAGATGCCTTCTTCTAGGGCATTTCAATAGCTAATTCACTGAATGGCAAATTACATCGATGCTGAATTTTCAGTTCTGCATCTAATTTAGGAAGCAGCTTCTTGCTACCCCAAAAACTTTACAAACTAGGCACATCCAATTCAAACTTTGTATAATAACTGCATCGTACAACATCTACCAGCTCAAATTTGTACAATAAGTTCAGATTTTGTGCAATATCTGAAATCATTCAAGCACAGTTACAAAGTTGAAACTAGTAGAAAAATATAGTCTGCAGAAATTTAAACTGGAGTTTTAGAATGTACTGATCAACAAGCATTGACAGGCATACCAGCTTTTGCGCATTAAGTGTGAAAGAACTTCTAACAAACAGTTACATTAATACCTGATAGGCACTTGCATTACAGTCAAGACTTAAATTTAAACAGGTATTGTAACATTAAATTATTACCATTATGTCATGAATAGCAACAATAAAATTTAAACAACCAAATATTTGTTTAACGCAGCTGCTACACAAATTGTCATTCTTATCCATTAATGAATCTTTCCTGCAAATTAATGCAACTCTTGAATCACTTTCAAATTAAGTCAGAGTAGTATTTTAAAATTGAAAAAAAAAAAGTGAAGAACATGAAGTATATTAATTTAAATGACATTTCTTATTCAAAAAAACTACTTAGTGTCTCTAAAATTTAAATCAATAGAATTCTTGTTTACCTCAGTGTTGCAATTTATAGCCCTCAAATAGGCAATGAACAAGGGTAATGTTTGTTTAAAAACAAAATCTCTGCTCTTTTATAAGTTAAAAATATATTCTATGTTATATTACTACAAGCTTGCTGCTTAGAATCCATAACTTAGCTATATATGAAGTACTTTTATTGGGTGGTGAACTTAAAATTTTTGATCAACATCTCCATATACAAAATTTTGACTGAAAAGAGGAAGAAAAATCATCCTTAGCTAGGCAAGCTACACAGTTTCTTTTCATGATTTTCTGCAAAGCAATGAGTGTGAGTTACAAAGTTGCTTTGCAATGCAGTTTATTAATCACAATCTATGAAGCACATGATATCATTCAGGCGACGTCAACAGTTATTTCAAACGTGACTTGCCTTAAGTGATGGTTACCCATATTACTTGAAATACAAGATTTCAAATAAATCAATGCAATATAAATTTGCTAACTCCATTCAAAATGAATTGAATTTAATGTTGAAGACAAATGACAAGTTCCTTCATAAATTATACTTCATAAACATTACAAATTATTTTTAAAATATTTAATATTTCTAAAATAATTTAACTTTTACCCTTTGCTTAAAAAATAGATTATTCCAAGTAGAATAGTTAAAGCCATAATTTGAAGTACACAATTCTGCAATATAGATTGCGCCAAAGCAATATGTTAAAAGATGAGATAATTCCTTCTCATCACGAGCTTCAGCTGTTATCTGAAAAGAAAAGGAAATAAAATATACAGTAACATATACAAAATTCATTCAGAGTGAATTTTAAAAATAGATAATTAATCTAAATACAATCTGAATAAATCATACAGTATGGAAAATACAGATGCAAAAATATGCATGTTAACTCCTTTGGGATATTCTACAAAAGGTATAAAATTCATTTCAAATTTGGAAAACAGATTAATTTTAGTTAGACTGAGATACAGAGCGCATTACCAAAAAAAAGTTCATGACATTAATGATAAAGTCTAAGTTACCCTTTACATACACTTTAATTAAACTGTAGCAGAGAGACACTTTCAGCACCTGTCATATTCCCTGCAGGATGAGCTAAATAAAACCATTGATCAGTTTATAAGGTATTTCTCCCGCTTTCCTAGCGTGCCTTCATAGTGTAGTTGTTCTGCACGCTGGGCCGGTATTGAGGTCCGGGATTCGATTCCCAGCGAAGACGATTGCTCATTTTTCAACCTCTCCTGCTTCCAAAAATCCCAATGTCTCTACAGTGGCACCTGAACCATAAGGGTGTTGGATAAGGATTCTCCACACCCAGGATTTGGCAATTGTGTCCCATAAAAGCCCCAGTCGCCCTTTAAAAAGGGGAATATATAAGGTATTTCTCCCGCTTTCCTAGCGTGCCTTCAGGTGTAGTGGTTCTGCATGCTGGGCCAGTATTCCAGATTCCAGAGGTCCGCAGTTCAATTTTTGGTGAAGGCGATTGCTCATTTTTCAATCTCTCTTGCTTCCAAAAATCCTAATGTCTCTACAAGTTGATGTGGTCTTAGCAACTCACCTGCAGAATTGAAGTGCTCAGATCCGAAACGAAATCTGTTGAATAATCAAGAAAGAGGGGACTCATGTTCTTCTAAATAGCATTTATTTAACACATAATATGATACAAAAGGTACATACAGCAGTACAGAATATCAAATAACATGTAAAGCACTACATACCTATAGCCAAATTTAGATCACCATTTATATGAATAATGAATTACTTAAATTACACTATGTTTAAAAATTCAGCTTTTATAATTTTTGGTATTAATTTATAAAACACTGATTTTAGTTTTCCGTGCATAAGGTATTCTCTCCCTCCTTCCAGGATGCCTTCGTGGTGTTATGGTAGTGCACTCAACGCATATTCAAGAGGCTCAGGTTCGAGTCCCAGTGGGGCACTGCTCATTTTTCATGTCTCCCACATTAAAAAGAAAACACCTAATGACATTACAGTGGTGCCTGAACTAAAAGGTGGTGGACAATTATTTATTACCACCAGGATTTGACTGGGTCCCCTAATCCCAAGTCGCCCAGTAAAAAGGAGAGTATATAAGGTATTTTCTCCTCCCTTCCAGCATGCTTTTGTGGTGTAACAGTAGCACATCCGGTGCATATTCAAGAAATTCAGGTTCGAGTGCCAGCAAGGGCATTGCACATTTTTCGCATCTCCCGCTTCAAAATAACCTAATGACTTTACAAGTGTTTGTCAACATTAATATTGATTGTCTCCAAAAGATTAAATGAAATTCATGAATTGGGCAATAGTAAAAAGTGTTTTAGTTTAAGAAGATGTTCCATCTACATAGAATGCTTATTAATAAAGTTGTTTTAATGCATTTCTAATTGATGTTTTCTTTTAGAAATAGGTGTTTAGAAGTTATTTAGATATATTAAACTTTAGGGATAATCAACATTATGCAACAAGATCGTGTTTGTTCCCTCTAATGAATTTTTGACATATAGAATGTTTATGTCAACTAGAATAAAGAACATTGCTGATTTCTTTGAAAGGTAAATCTTATTTATATAAGAATTTAGGAATATTATTGAGAAAAGCAGCATACAATTTTGTCTCTGTTAGAAAAATTATCTGACGATAATTACATAATAAGAACAGACAGAATCAAAAGTGAACTAAGAAGTTAAAAAATATGGAGAAGTATGACAGAAGCAGATAAACCACTGAAGTGGCATAATGATGAGAAATCTGGGATCATGTCTCTTGCAAAGGATATTCAAATCAAGTGTAGATTTGAATTGGTTAATTCAAATCTACACTTGATAATGAATAAAAGTAGAGGTGGACTAATTGGTTAATTCAAATCTACACTTGATGGTCAAAATGAAGCAAGATTAATCTGTAGATAACAGAGCTATAATTGTTAAAAATAAAAGTATTCAAATGAGGGAATGAAATAAAAAATAAGGAATTAGTTTTCTTCATATTAGAAGGAGCAAAGAATGAATTTGAATTTGATGTTAAAATCAGTTAAAAAAAACAGCAGAAAAAAGATATAGCTGCAATGAAACAAACATTTACATAAACTGAAAATAAAATAAACACAAATGAAAAGAAGGACAAATAGAAACAATACCATGAAAGAAAATATTTAAACCATGGAAAATTAGGGCAGTTATCAAAAGAAAGTCAATCAATAATAATATAAAGTGCTCCAAATGTGGAAATTTAGGCCACAAATGAATAGAAATGCACAAAAGAAAAACCAAAGAACAAAGAAAGTCAAGGAGATTAACAAATAAAACTGTTGAAATGGCAAACAAGGAAAAAAGACTATGAATCAGCTACAAGTATTTAAAAAATCTTGAAAAACTTCATCTTTTAACCAAGTTAGAAATGATGCAGCAAATGAAACAGAAGATACTAAAAAAAAATTCATTAATTAATAGATTCAGAAGCAATATCTCACATGAAATAAAGAAATATTCATCAGTTTCAAAGATGAAAAACAGTAAGTAAATACAGCTGAAAAAGGAATTCGGTGACATTGGTGATATTAAAATGAAAATTGATATACATAAAAGCATTTTGAAAGCAGAAAATGTTCTGCAAGCACCAAATTTAAATGAAAATTTTATTTACAGTACCAAAAAGAGTAGACAACAATTTAAAATTACTTTTTACAAAAACTAAAGCTGAAGTTATTAATAAACATGGAGTTATTCTTTATAAAGCTACTAGAAGTGGAAATAAATATAATAAAAGAAGCTAAAATATTTAATGTTAACCCGGGAGCACGCGCACTTTTTTGAATTACACGAGCATGCACCCTGGGTCCAAAAGACCTGGCTTGTGTTTTGGAAGAAAAAACTGTTACTCTTCAGGTAAAAGTGTTACATTTATGCCCAAATTTTATGATCAAACTTAAAAAATACGAAAATTATAAAAATTAAAATTTTAATTTCTAAAACATTTTTTATGAAATAAAAATTTTTTACAGGAATAGAAAAATGTATTATATCAATATAGAATCTATTAGGAATTCATAATATCATTATTCAGGTTACTAAGGAATTATTATATTATTCAGGTTTATTAGAAATATACTGCCTGAAAGGACATCTTCCTTGGAAAGCTCCAAATTTTTCATGAATTGAATGAACCAACAGTATATTTCTGGCAGTTATTCACAAAACCTTCAAAAAAACTCTCTTAAAGGTGCAAGTCTATCCGATTCTTCCTTGACGATACGAGTTCTTATATCATCAAAACACAAACATCTTGTTAAAAAAAAGAAAACTTTTGTAGAACATAAATTTGTAGAAAATTTCCAAACCGGTTCCGTCTATTGCCCACAGATCCGCACATTTACATGAGACGACTTATGTCACAAAAATATAAAGGAACTATAAAAGCGAGAATTTCAATTACAGTTGTGTGACAAGCATCCCTCTCTCTCTTTGAAGGCTGTCAGAAATAAATGCAATATAAATATTTGTTTAACTGAGGACTAACATTTGTTCACTTAGTAAAAGTTCCCATGATTCATTTGGAGTCTGCACATATTTTGCCTTACAGATGTTTCCAGGCAATTTAGTAATAATATTATGAGCAGGAGTTCTAACATCAGCTCTAGGCTTTTCTTTTGACCATTGTTTTGTTTCATCTTTTCCAATAAAGCAATAAATGTCATTCTCATTTTCGTTTCCAGAATGCATCTTGATTTCTGAATCAATATCATGAGAACTTAAAAAATTCATTATAACTTTCATCATCAGTTTCTTGAATGGAGTCTTCAACAGTTTATACATCTTCTAATAATTTTTGGAAACGTAACATTTCTTCCTTATAGGATAAATTCCGCAACATGTTTGCAGCTTTCTGTGCTACCACAAATGAACTACATTACATCAATGCAAAAAAGCCGCGCTCGGTCTGAAAGACCCGATCCGATCAAAACAAAACTTCTAAACAAATTTCCGGCGAAAAACTTCAAAAAAAAAAATAAAGAGAATGGCCTTGAAGGAGACTACACTGAACCACAATCACTGGAAAAAATAGGGGCATTTTCAGAAAGGTTTCTTTAATCGGCGGGTCCCTTGGACCCAGAGCGCGTGCTCACGGGTTAATGATGTACAAAGGCATCAGAGACTAGGTTATCTAATCTCAGACATAGAAATGAAGAAAGACTATATACTATATTATACTGGGAAAAAACATTAATAAGTAATAATAATTGAAAACATGAAAAATATATATTATACCAAAAATAAAATATACATTATACTAAACTATATTATACTAGAAAGAATACAAATTTCCAAGAACTACTGTAAAGCTTGCACATAAATATAAATGACACCAAAATTCTCACAGAAATCTGAAATTCAAACAATCTGAAGATATTACAATCACAGAATACAGATTTAGTTGAACCAACAGAGAAGTCAATACGTGGAAGTCATTTTCCAACAGCAGCAGGAGATTACAGTAACTTCATGTTTGTGATTACAGATGAGAAAAAGTATGAAACCATGGAATCTATAATACATCACATTATTGAAGAAAAAAAGCAAACAGGAATTCTAAAAAGAATTCAAAGTGAACGCCAATAAAATCCTTAACTAAAATTATTAAAGGGATTTTTTGAAGCTGAATGCTTTAATTGTGCTATCGCAGAGACTGGTAAAACTATGTTGACTAATGCAGAATTACCGATACATTTTTGGAATGAAAGTGTTAAA